TAACCATTATAAATTAGAGGTTCAAATGCTTAAATTAAATTAAAGCTAGAATTAAAGCTAGAATTTTGATTTATATGTTTTTTTATCTCCCATTTTATCTTCAAAGTGAAAAAAGGCTTAACTACAAAAAAGCCATTTTCGAGAAAAAGCATTAAAGCAGTAAAAATGAAACGAAATAAATGTCCTAATATGAAAAACATAAATCTAGGAATTTTGAGTTAAATAATAATTTTTAAAATAATTTAAAACTTAAATTTTTAACATTATATGCAGTTTTTTTCGATCCAATTAAAATTCCAATATTCAGTCCAATTTCGAAATGGTCTTATTTTCCAAAATTCAAATGATCATCAGTCTTTAGGGAATATTTTTGTTCTTTAAAGAAGACCGTAAATAAAAGCTTTTACATAGCATTTACTTATCTTGATATATCATAAAAAATCACAAAAATTCACATTCTAATAATGCTTATAATTTATCTTATCATATGTAATGTAATGTTCTACTGAAATTGTAGTTTCATTTATATTTTTCATTATCAATTCGTACATACAAATAATTACATTTTATTTAGCCGACAGGATATCGCCTTTCGGTAAACTCCTACTTCATCGAAAATTTTGGCTGCAAGTCTATGTCTACAAATTTCTATTTTCTTGTAGTAATCATCCATATTGAAACATTGTTCGTGTTCAAAATTTAGTATTGCAGTTGCCAAAACAAAATAGTAGGCCACAAAAGCCAAATACTTGTTTTTCAAATCGTTTTGCAACAGGACAGAGCATACGTGATTTGTATTTTAATTTTTACCGGGATGTGAAATAGACCGGCCGGGACACCTGGATTTTGTCTGAAAACCGGAACTGTCCCGGTCAAACCGGGAAGTCTGGCAAACGTAGTTAAGGCCACACTTGTACTCGAGTTTTAATTCAATATTGAGATTAAAGCGAGATGAATTAAAGTGAAGTACTATAAAGATTTCATTTTAAATGTAGCAGTTCCATTAAGTTAACGGATTTTTTCAGAAATCTTGAGATATTATAGCCAAATTAAATAATAAAATTTTTTATCATATACACGAGTAAAGTGTCCCCCGACACCCTCGCTTTCATGAAAGTTAATTCAAAGTCCTTTAAAAATATTATTTTCGGGATTTAATTTAATAATTTTGGGTTACTTAATTCAGATACATTTTACTAACTTTACATTAGAAGATAATATAATCAATATTACTTCAGTAAATAAATTCGTACACCTATATATATCTGTAATAATAAAATTCCATAGTCAAGAATACACTTAAAATTCTAACTGTATGTTCTTTTCATTTTTAATGGCGACGTTCTCTTATTTGAAAGTACGTGGAATTAAATCCACAGCCCCGTAGTCAAGTTGTTTTTCCCGCCTTTTCTATACGTACAGTTTTAGAATGTTCTGGAAATATTTAAAGCGAACTGGATTGGCTAACGAGGCTGACGTCATTTCTTGGAAGTTCCGCCTTTCCAGAGGCTATAAAAAGACTCGCAAAAGAATATCGGGGCTTTTCTTTAATGTCACGATGCAGTAAACTTCATACAAAAAGTTATTAGTAATTCTTTTTTATTTACTTCGGATATCTGATTTTGTAACTGCTATTTCTCCTGAAATATAATAAATGGATCCTGTTTTTTAAAACATATCGTCTGATAATTTAAGCTACGACAAAAGCTGGTACATCACACATATATATAATTTATTTACTAAAGAAATATTGATTATATTACCTCCTAATATAAATTTAGTAGAAGTATCAAAAAATAGTGAACTCATATGTAGGAAGTTTATATATATGTTGAGAGAGAGGTAGATATATAGATATCTGTACCTATATCTATATCACAAGGCCCTGTTGAAGAAAGAAAAGAGTTGTCAGAGTGTTGTTTGGGTGTGCTTTCTGGTGTCTTTTGTGCATTACAACACTACAAGATGCATTAAAGTGTAAACTGATATCATATATTTCCTGTTCGGACACATGCTAGTTTGATACTATGCCATTGTGGTCTACAGGTATTCTTTGTCTGGTATCGAATTCGGTCCCGGGGGGGGGCGAATGCGGAATGCAATCGTACCTCTTTTATACCAGAGAACAAATCATGTGCACCAAGGCCCCGTTGTTAATTATTGTGGCCTCATCTCTCAAGGTCACTCCAATGGTAGGAGAGAAAGGTCTCTCATTGGGATCGAAATGTGGATACCTTTGTGGAATGTGAACTACCAAAAAAGGGCGTTTCGCACCCAACAGATGTCTGTTGTAACAGTTTCTGAAACAACATAATAGAGTAATGTTCAAGTTCCAGATTGCTTTATCCCCGCAACTGTTAAAGTCTTTTTTTTTTTTTTTTCCCATTAAAGTTCATGTTATTTTTGAAAATTCATTTCAACCCTACATTACAACAGGTGCTTTGGGTAGCGGGTTCAGCCACTATACCATACCACATTAGTTCACATATTGCTTTGTGTGTGCAGTAGAGCACGAAAGCTGCTACACTGCACACTAGAATATCACCCCACTCCTCTTAGTCGCTCCGAATGAATTTTTATGTGAATTCATTCGGAGCGACTTGAAAGCCGTTATTAAATCTTCTTAATTAACTCAGAAAAAAATTGGTTAACTATATTACATAAATACTGCACATTCTCATGCGTTTTTCAGCCTTAGCTGTTGACGGGCTATGTCTTAATATATTATTTAATTAATAAAGCCAAGATGTGTATCCAACTCATCAGCAAGAAGACATGAATTTCACCAAGTATTTGTAATATATGAAACTATTTAACATTTTGTAAAATCGTACTTGTCCTCCCCTCGTAAACTACTTCTTATCTTTAATGTATTATTTTCAATACCAATACAAACTTTTCGGTGATTTTACCAGTTGCTAACCAAATTCCAGTTAAACAGAAAATTTTTGAAATTGAAAGTTACTTTCCTTAACCTACGCTTAACGTTTTAATCAAGGCACAATTAAAACTTTCTTAATGTGTTAAAAATTTAAAACTCTTAATCAATAATTATGAGAGAATATAAATATTAAAATGAGGAAACGAAAATTAAAATTTCTTTAAATCCAGTGCATTCTTCTATAGTATACATATGGATCAATAACTAAATCTAAACTTTTTTTTTTTTAGTTTGTTTTAGTTTTTGTTTTAGTTTTTTTTTGGGGGGGGTTCAATTATGGCAATTATGGTTCAATTAAGCCCTAGCGTGCTTTGATATAATTGAATATCGAGATTATTCAATTATGGCAAAGCACGCTAGGGCTATCTGCCTAAGGGTGTGGATGCCTTCGTGGAGAACTTTGTACGAAAAAATGGTTCGTATGCACGTGACACAGCTGGGAAACCACTAAAACGTCTATGCAGCTAGCTCGTTCGATTGGATTCGAACCCACTTAGGGTTTCGTTTGATTTATTTGATAAGGGCAAAGCACACGAGGGCTATCCGCCTAAGGGAAGGGATGCCTTCGTGGATAACTCTTTAAGGGAAACTGGCTCGTATACACGTTACACACAGGAAAAACGACGAAACCGTCTATGCAGCCACCCACGAAACGCCCGTGCATTTGCCCCGACCGAACTACCAATGTTCAGCGATTTTACGGTCCGACCGCTGGGGGGGGGAATATAAACGAACTATGCGTTAATAAAATTGCAGTTAAATTTGATAATAAGAATTATTATAAGATGGACTATAGGTAAATGAGAATACGTTAAATGAGATGGACTAAAAGTAAAGAGACTTTAAATTAAATGAGATAATAACATATAAAAATTAAAGAGACTATAATTATTAAATTATATGTTAAAGATACTTAATCCGATTTTATGATCGAATGAGCTTATTAAGAGATAAGAGTTAAATTTAGTATTAATATCGGTAAAACTATTCCTTTGTCGGCAATTATAGTATCGAGCGATGCGGCGAGGATTTTTTCTTGAATAGTTCTCCATAAAGGCAGCTAGTCTGTATATGGTTAACTTCTGCAGCAAACGTGAAGCATTTCCCACTCCACTCTAATATTCTTCATCTGTATTCTTCGTGGCCATCACACAGTCTAAACAGAAGATGAGAATACTCTCAAATTTAACGGCTAACATTGATAAGTTAAAATTAGCTTTTAATCTTTGCTTTATAGTCTCTTAACCAATGATGACCTCATTTTTGAAAAGTATGTATTCGAACTTCAAAAGCTGCAATAATTATAAATTATTATAACAGATTACTATTGTAGACTTGAAATTTCACTGCAAACACTTTTTATGTCTCTGAATTTTAGATTATGAAAAATATTATTGAAAATAATTCGTTTTTCAATGCTTTTATGGCGAAATTTGCTTTTATTTTCCATGCATTTGTTAATTAAAGCAATCTTAAATACTACAGTTATTATGGTTTAGTAAAATAAATTTTCGCCACCTGTTTTCTTTACATTTCTATGTATCTTCCTTTATTCCCCCATTTAAGAACGTTGAAATGTTTTTAATTTAGTAAGTTTTCTTTTACAATTGCATTTTTAATTTGCTCGTTCAAGAGATATTAATAACCAAAAATTATTTTTAGCTTAGATAAAATAACAGTGCATTTCTTCTGTAGCTTTCAGAGATGTCATTAGATTCAGAGATGTCTTTCACAGATGTCATTTCTTCTGTAGCTTTCTGCATACATAATCAAAGAGTGTCATTGTTAAAAACGTAGAAGTATTTTTAACTTAAATTTCCAAGAACGTGAAAGCGGAGTTTTAGCGAGTATCATGGCAATGACAGCAGACCGCAGGTGCTGAAAGCGTTCTACACACGCAACGCGGACGTTTGGCGACTTCTCCTCCTTCTCCATCGCCAACCCCACCTAATGTTGCGTATCAACGTTGGCGCGGTCTCTCGTCTCGCTTTCGTGGCAACCCACCAACACCGAACCGATCGTCAGCGGGGCAAAAAGGAAACCAAAATGACTCCTTCCAAAAAGTGAAGTTTCGTCTGCACGCATCGGACGCGTGCGCGAGAGCGGCCCGCTCGGGAAATTTTGATTGGGCACTTCGAAGTTTGTGACTTTTTTTGGTCTCAGCCGGGTTCTTGAAGCCAGATATTTTGGATGCCTATGCGGGATTCGATCCCGGAACAATGAGTTGCGCCGATGTCATGTACCAACCTTATTCGCCATATTTCCCGTACCACCAAAGGTCCCAGGTAGCGGTATCGTCGACAGGAGGGGTCGGACCCCTGACACCGGTACCGACACAAGCCACTACCGACTACAGAGTAAGTTCGATTTTTCTTGTTCGCTACAGTAGCTGTCTGATGCAAGGAAACCAATTTATAGGGTTTACATATTTTTATTTACGTACTGTTACTATGCAAAATTATTTACAGTCAATTCCCGATTATCCGAGTAGGAATTAACTGGGTTGTGCATTAATCGGGGCCTGTTTCCTTCCATCAAAAAATAAAAGTTGCGTTTGTTTGTTTGCAGTAGTTGTCTACAATAGTTGTCGGATGCAAGGAAACAAATTTATAGGGTTTACATATTTTTATTTACATACTGTTAATATGCAAAATTATTTACAGTCAACTTCCGATTAACTGGGGAGGAATTAACTGGGTTGTGCATTAATCGGGGTCTGTTTCCTTCCATTAAAAAATAAAAGTTGCGTTTGTTTACAGTATTGTCGAATGCAAGGAAACAAATTTATAGATTTTACATATTTTTATTTACATACTGTTACTAAATCATTCACAGTCGACTCCCAATTAACTGGGCAGGAATTAACTGGGTTGTGCATTAATCGGAGCCTGTTTCCTTCCATCAAAAAATTAGTTACGTTTGTTTATTGCGAAACCATGGAAAAATGATTGTCGCAAACCATCAACCAAGTGTTTACTTGTTTTGACTGTAAAACAAAACTGTTTACAGTAAATACAAAAAGGAAAAAAATGTAAATAACATATTGCCAGTATTGTACTTTAATATCTTTTATAACTTAACTTCTTCATTTCTTGTTGCGTTTATTCGTCTGTTATGCACAGAATGTTGTTTTTGTTTTGAGTGATATTTAATTTAGGTAAACAAATGAAATTCTCTACTAATTAACCAACTTTAAAATGCAAATAAATTGTTAATAGTATGTTATGTTAATGATAATGCGAATTGTTCCTCTTTTGTGTGTTTTTTTAACCACTCTCGAATGTTTTTAGCAGTACATGTGTATCGTTCCGGTATTACACAATTAAATCAAGATTTGACTATATATCGATTTACGTATTGATTACATGTACCCTATACTATGAATTTTTGTTCATTTAACTAAATTATGACAAACTTTATGAATCTCAGTAGATTAATTAGTTCATTGTATGATCCTTGTAGAATGTAAATACAGATCTTCGACTGGCAATGTCCATGCATGTGTATGCATCCCGGCCGGCAGTGACCATGTAGTCCGTGCATGTAGTAGTCGATGCATACTATAAATATAGTAGTTCTGTAATTTATAATTCATTACTCTATAGTACATATTAATGATGTATTGTGTGTCATGATAGTGCTTAGTAATGATGAAGTAAACAATCGTTACCATGCATTTTATTCAAATCTTAATTCATATATATTTGATATAGTGTTTAAAAGCAAATGTATAATCAAAGGACGCCATGAAAGATATAAAATTTTAGAAATAATATGGTGATGTACAGGATGTTTAGCTATACACAGAAAAGCTGGGGAAATATTTTAAAAGTGATTTCTTCGCTTTTATTAGGTTATTCTTTCAAATCCTTATTATTAAAGCTATTAAAAATAAAAGTTTTTAAAATGTTTTAAATTGATTTATTTTGTTAGTTATATTTTTTCAAAGGCTATGAGATATTTTATCTTATTGACTACTTTACCTGTACATATTTCATTTTATTTCGGTTTTCGTTTCCTGTTTTATTTCTGATATCTCATATATTTAAATCCCAGCCCCCCCCCTTGAGTATAAACGCATTATCTATACATATTTCCTGGATTTCTTATCTTTCTTTTTTGTTCTTGCTCTTTACACTTATACTCACTATTTGGATATTATGTCAATCATTTCCCGAGAATTCAAAAGATAGTTTTTCCTGAATCTAATTCCCTTAGGAATTGTTTGGTACACATTTTACCGATGTTCCGTGTTTTTCGTGACATATTCAAGCAACCAATGCGAAGAAATAAGAATATATTTGAGGATCATTTGAAAATTACATCCTTGATAATAGAGTAACGTGGAGATTAGAGATGTTATTAGAAAAGCGCAAATATGTGCACATCAAAAAAAGCTCATAATCATGCTACTTTACCTTTCATGAACTTTAAAGCATTTGTATAACGTAATTGGAAATGCACATATGTACGTATTTATCTTATCCTTCTAATGCAGCGGTATGGTAGGGCAGGGTTCTGATTATTACAGTGCAATCCATGTGTGCTACTGATAATTTACATGTCTCTTCTTAAATTATGCTCGCATTATATTTGTGCGTAAAGAAATATATCTCCAATGGCTGATGTTCTCTCCAGTGGATGATCGTTGGTAATTATCTCCAATGGTTGATGTCCTGTCCACTTATTCCTGTCGCAATACATCCTTGTGCCCGCGGAGATGGAGGCTGTAATAAAATTTAATACATTAATTACCTACTGGCCAAAAAAAATTATATTTATATAAATTATATTTTTTCTCAGTTTTGGTGCTCCATTAACGGTCCCCAATACAGGCCACACTTCATCTGGTCTTAGTTACAGGCATATATTAACCACGCTATCAAACATCAACTTTTAATATCTGAATACAAGCAACTTCTAGTCAACAGTAAGCTAGCCTGCTACCAAAAACATTAATAAAACGTAAATAGTCAATTATGAAATGTTTTCTATTTTACATGAATTATACTGTAACAAAGTAACCTAGAGAAAATTCTGCAAGAAAATTATTAGAAAGAGAAAATACATTTACAAGAATATAATACACTTATCAGCTCCTAAGTTTAAAACGTTTGAAAGATGAGTCATCTGAAGAACTTACGTAAGTATGCATTGCTGACATTAGACATGAAAAATATGTAGTGCTGGTTATACACATATGTAAGATATAAATAAATACTATGGCTACGTTAAAAAAAATAATTGGCGACCACAAAATTAACATTCTAAATTTGGTGCTCTCCCCCCTAAATTCATCTGTTGTCCCAAATTCGAGAATCTTCGATGATTATGACCTCTACGCTAATTATTCTTCTATGTTTCCCAGAAATATGACATATATATATTCGATTTAAGTAAGCTAGTTAATCAGGCGTAATAAATTGCCTAATACGTGCGCTAAAGCTGCAAAGTAATAAAATAATAATTTATTCTCTAATAGATTATTTAGTATCGGGTCAGCCCAGAAGTTCATGCGCATTAAGAGTATGCGTGGAATTCTCTATGACGGATTTACTAAAGCAATACAATTTTGAATATGCTGAAAATTGTCATCGTTTGACTGACATATTATTCAGTTCATCATCAACTTTCGTAAATATCGAACGCATTTTAGTACCCGTAGAAGATGAATATAGATAATCAGTACAAACGTACTGTGCTACATTTTTTATTTTCGTGTGGTGAATCTGCCAGGTTTGCAGTGATATAAATTGATAGTGTACATGGTGAACACATTATTAATGGACTGCCCAGAAATGGTTTAAAAAATTTAAAGTTGGAAAAAGCAGCCTTGATGATGAACCCCGTTCGGGACATTTTGAACTGTTAGAACCAAATCAGACGATTAATTCAGAAGTTTATAGTGAACAACTTTGCCGTCTAAACACAGAATTGATTAAAACATGCCAACGATTGGTGAATATCAAGAAAGTGTTGTTTCATCGTGATAACGCTAGACCGCATAGGGCTCGAACAACCGTCCAAAAAAATAAAAGTTAATTTAATTGGGAGCTTTTGCCACATCCTGCTTAGTCTCCAGATATTGCCCCAAGTGATTTTCACTTATTTCGTGTCTTGCAAAATTTTTTACTGGGAAAAAAAATTAAATTCTGAACAGGATGTGTACAATGAACTTTCAAGTGTTTTTTCGCATCAAACCCAGAGTCTTTCTACAGCAATGGCATAAAAAAGCTGCCTGTAACATGTCGAGACATTGCGGATAATGGAGAGGAAATATAATTGATTAAAATGTTAAATTGATTTTTTAATATTATTTAAAAATTTACCAAAAAATGCGCACGAATTTATGGACTGACCCAATACATTATCTCCTTTGACAAAAGTAACTAAAATTCTATTGAAAGGTAGTAACTCATTAGCATATTCAAAATGGAATTTGAAGGCATTGTTTTTTTGACAATTTCAAGCTACGAAATAAACCCGTGAGTTTGTCATATTATCGCATTATTTACTAAAAAGTTTCCCTTGCAATAGGAGCCACGCGTTAGTTCAAATATTTGCTCTTATTTCCAAGTTCAACTGTACTCATTATGTATACGTCCTGCTGTGTGAAATTAATAAATAGTCTTATTTGGCTGTACACTCTCAACTGTCACTGTCATTTTAGATTATTTCCTCTTGAAAGGAATTAAATCAAAGAAAGTTATTAAAATACGAGTAAATTCATTTACATATGAAAATACGATTGATGTAAGTTTATTAGAAGTATTTCTTAGAATTCTATTCGAACTATTGAGAGAATATTCCGGTCACAATTTAATAAGACTGACGCATACTGATTAGCTTGAAGAACACTGAGTACGGTTATATATAATAAATATCAGCGCAGTATGTAGTTTAGACTCGTTTTGGCTCAAGCCTACATCAAGGCTTATCAAGAGTCACAGGAAGCATGTGTAATTATCTCTTATTGATAGCCTTTCGACCGCCTACCAGTCCCTCCATATAGAAACTCAAAGCATTTTTTTAGCCTTAATTGGCATTTGCCCAGAAGGATTATTAATTTCGTTTTGGCATTTTGCGTCGCTTACGATAAAAGGGCGTGACACTTTTCAAATTGTTGCCACCAAATTTTAAAACTCTGCATTATATTTAAAGAAATTAAATAATGAAAAATCTGCATAAATGTACGTATGTTTCTCGCACTGTGAAAAAACAATGGTACCAAGAGACATACAATTTTGAATACGGGCATCTGGAAGCCCATATATGGAATTTGTTTTATAATCTATTCCATATTTTGTAAAACTTTAACGAATTTGTGATTAACGAAATCAACGATTTCAAAGCGAGC